TTCAGATGAAGTGAATTGCCCCCAGTCTCGTAGCAGACATGGGCCTTGTCCAAACTTAGAGCTCATATTACTTGCAGGGGCCGTCTGTTTTCTTGGCTGTCCAGCAGGCCACCTTTTCCTTCAGGGCACTGCTCTCCTGCTGCATTACACATGTGATTTGTTTGGGGCTGCCAAAATATATTTGGTTATCTTTTTTTTCTCAGTAAGCTCATACAAAATTAGTGTTTCTTCAATAATTACTTTGCATTTATTGTCATCATTTCACTCCCAAATGTGTCAAAATTCAAGTTTAAAAGAAAAAAAAAAGGATAATAGAAGATACTGATTATCTTTTGGTCATAGATAGTTTTATGATGTTATCTTTTAGGGTCTGGACTACACTGACCAGTGTATTAGACAAAAAATTTATGAGAATTGGTTAAAGATATAGGAAATAAATTCATTTGAAATAAAAACAAAACAAAACCCATTATTTTGCAAGTAAATACTAGGGGGGAAGAAGCTTGCAAGTCGCCAGAATACGGCTTGGACTCCGGTATGCGTGTGCATGATGGGGAGTGCCTTGGTCGTGATGTTGTGTCATTGCCTCACTTTTGGCACCCGGGAACTACTCAAGAAAACCAGATTGAAAATTTGGAATCTGTGCTTCAGTGGATTGAAACTGGCCTCCTGTCACTAAGGAAAAAATCAAAACAAAACACACAAGAATTTAGAGAGGATATTTTTCTGCCAAAAAATAATTTTTCCTTGATGCTATTTCTTATTTGGGCCAATACTCCAATGGAAAAAATAGATTGGGCAAGAGTTCAATATAATTTGCTGTGACATTTGACCTAAAGTAACATCATAAAAACTTAAACACAGGAAATTGTATCCTCTCCTGCTGATGCATGTGTGCCTATTTGTCTCTCTTAAAAGAAAAAAGGAGAAAAAGAGAATTAATTGAATGGTATTTTGTTGTACTTGAAATGTTAACTCTCAAACTAATTTATTTATTCAGTAAATATTTCTTAAGCACCTACTATATGCTGGTACTATATGCCAGGTATAGATGCTTGGGATACAGTAATGAGCAAAACAAAACCAGTAGCAAACTTGTACACGCAGATAAGGGTTTAAAATATTGTTGGCATGGGCCAGGCGCAATTACTCACACCTGTAATCCTAGCACTTTGGGAGGCTAAGGTGTTAGGATCACTTGAGGTCAGGAGTTTGAAACCAACCTGGGCAACACAGCGAGACCCCATCTCTATTTAAAGACAAAAGAAAAAATATTGTTGGTACAGTTGTGAAAAGGGGAACAGTAGACACTGGGAAATATAAGAGTGGGGAAGGGGGTGAGGTAAGCATTGAAAAAAGCTATCTGTTGGGTACTATACTCACTACCTGGATGACAGATTTGATTCATGCATACTCCAAACCTCAGCATCATGCAGTATACCCTGCATGTGTATCCCCTGATTCTAAAATAAAAGTTCAAAACAACGCTGCATATGTATCCCCTGATTGTAAAATAAAAGTCCAAAAAATAAAAAAATAAAAATCACTGAGCTTCTGAGACTCATTTGTGAACCAATTTATTTTCTTGCTATTATTGCTATCATAATTCTTGGCTAAACAACTGTTATAATTGCCTCAATTTTGAAAGTATCAGGGCATTTTTTTGTTTGTTTTTGCGATGGAGTTTGGCCTTGTCACCCAGGCTGGAGTGCAGTTGCAAGATCTCGGCTCACTGCAACCTCTGCCTCCCAGGTTCAAGCAATTCTCCTGCCTCAGCCCCCTGAGTAGCTGGGATTACAGGTGCCTGCCACCACGGCTGGCTAATTTTTGTACTTTTTGTATTTTTATTAGAGATGATATTTCACCATGTTGCCCAGGCTGGTCTTGAACTCCTGACCTCAGGTGATTCACACACCTTGGCCTCCCAAAATGCTATGATTATAGGCATGAGCCACTGTGCCCAGCCTCAAAATATCAATTAGAATCTAGCTTCCTGCCCTTTGTTGAGCCAAATGAAATGATAGTTGAGGAGAACTTAGAGGTTATATAGAGCTTTACAAAAACACAGGGGCTGACTCTGGGATAATTTAGACGATATTGGGGAAGAAAAGTATTATTCAAGTGAGGAAGAATCTACATAAAGGAAGAGATTGCGATTTCTTCTTTTTCTTCATTTTTTTTCTTTTTTCTTTTCTTCATTTTTTTCTTCATTTTTTGAGACAGACTCTTGCCCTGTCACTCAAGCTGGAGTGCAGTGGTGCAGTCTTGACTCACTGCAACCTCTGCCCCGCCAGATTCAAGTGGTTCTCCTGCCTCAGCCTCCTGAGTAGCTGGGATTACAGGCATGGGCCACTATGTCTGGCTAATTTCTGTATTTTTAGTAAAGATGAGGTTTCACTGTGTTGGCCAGGCTGGTCTCGAACTCCCAACCTCAAGTGATCCTCCCACCCCAGCCTCCCAAAATGCTGGAATTACAGGCATGAGCCACTGCCCATGACCAACAATATCTTCTTGTCAGAGGATTTCAACTGGAGGTCAGTTTAAGATTTTTACAATTGTCAAAAGAAGAGTGAGGTTTAGAAAGGCTGAGATACTCTGAGCCATAGAATTATATCATTAAATACCTGGCCATTGGTCATACCTTGGAAAAATTGCTGGTCTCATCAGGTGTAACCTAAGTTAGAGTAGCAGATGCTCTGTCATTAGGGATTCTGATCTATTCTGAGGAGAACAAAGGGCCTTTTACTCTTAGAATAAATTCTTAGGACCTCTACCTAGTTCAGAAGAGGCCTCCTCTGGTTAAGAGACCACATGCGGGCAGGGTGCGGTGCTCACTCCTGTAATCCTAATGCTTTAAGATGCCAAAGCGGGAGAATTGCTTGAGTCCAGGATTTCAAGACCAGTCTGGCCAACAGAGTATCTACAAAAAAAAAAAAAATTAAAATTAGCTGGGTGTGGTGGTGCACCCCAGTGCACACCTGTAGTCCCTAGCCTGGGAGGTCAAGGCTACAGTGAGCTGTGATCATGCCACTGCTCTCCAGCCTGAGCAACAGAGCAAGACCCTGTTTCAAAAAAACACAAACAGCTGGGAACGGTGGCTCACACCTGTAATCCCAGCACTTTGGGAGGCCGAGGCAGGCAGATCACCTGAGGTCAGAGACCAGCCTGACCAACATGGGAAAACCCCGTCTCTANAAAAAAAAAAAAAAAAACCCAAACATATGTAAGCATATTCATTTACAAAAAATTATTTTAAAATAAAATTAACAACAGCAACATTAAAAAAAAAAATCAAGAGACCACATGTGTTCTGAGGGTACTAGAGTCTCCAGACCCACCTAAGAACAGAAACTTTCAGTCTATTTGAAAATCTAATTACAGAAGAAAAAAAGTACGTTGGTGCTTTTTTCTTCACTTGCAAATACGAAAAAAAAAATAATAATGGTTTTCTTTTTTTTTTTCTTTTTGAGACAGAGACTCACTCTCTCACCCAGACAGGTGTGCAGTGGCACAATCTCAGCTCACTGCAGCCTCCGTTTCTTAGGCTCTAGAGATTCTCCTGCCTCAGCCTCCCACGTAGCTAGGATTACAGGCATGTGCCACCACACCCGGCTGATTTTTGTGTTTTTAGTGGAGATGGGGTTTCACCATGTTGGCCAGGCTAGTCTCGAACTCCTGACCTCAGGTGATCAGCCCACCTTGGCCTCCCAAAGTGCTGGGATTACAGGCTTGAGCCACCGCGCCAGCTGTCACTTCTCTTCCTCTCTACTTCTTTCTTCCCTTCCTTTCTCCCTTCTTCCCTCCCTTCTTTCCTCCTCCTTCCTTCTTTCTTTTCATGTATCCATTCAACAAACAAGTATTTAGAGCAGGGATGTCCAAACTTTTGGCTTCCCTGGGCCACACAGGAAGAATTGTCTTGGGCCACACAGAAAATATACAAACATTAATGATAGCTGATGAACTAAAACACACACATACACACACACACACACACACACACACACACACACATCTTATAATGTTTTAAGAAACTTTACAAATTTGTGTTGGGCAGCATTCAAAGCCATCCTGGGCCACATGCGGCCCGTGGCCTTGGGTTGAACAAGCTTGATTTAGAGGTTCTTTTATGCAAGGCCAAGTGCTAGATGTTGGGGCTGCATTGTGAACAGAGGAAGGCCCCTGCCCCGGGAACAGAGCGTAATTCCCTTACAGTGTAGAACACATGAGCCATGAGATTAGGAGCTGCAGGGTCTTGTTTATCACTGTATCCTCTACCCCTACCTAGCTCAGCACATGGCAATAAGCACATGCCCAAAAATACGTTGAGTGAGTGAATACAAGTTCAGTGTTGCTTCACCGACTAAAGGGTACTCTTGAACTCCCTCAGCTGGTTAATGCTACCCTGCAGACTGTCCATGTTGCCCTCAGTAAAAACAGAGCCAGTGTACATTCAGATCTTAAGACTGGTCATCCGGAATACATACCTTATGAGAAAGTAAGGATATTCAGGTTCAGTAATGATACACTTGGTTTGCAAATAACACATGTTCGTTTGCATGTTGCTAAAGACTCCTTGCTAGGAAACGAAACACTTGTAATTTAATATGCAATGTTCTCAAGAGTCTGAGGCCAAACCACCTCAAGCTGTGAATGCCTTGGCTCTGAAGAGCCCGCTAGGGTCAGGGCAGGGCAGCACTTGGCCTGATGCTCCTCCAGAATAAACCAAACAGCCACAGGAAGTGGTTTCTGTGATTCAGTAGGTGGCACACTTCCTTTTGAGTCAGAACTGAATCACAGCTGTGAGAGGCGAAAAAGACCTATTTCTTTATCCCATACTTTTTCCCTATTCCCAGTGGTAAATTTATCACGAACTGTCATATAATGTATCCTGTTTAGTTTAGTGTATTTAAGCAAAACAAAAAAACGAATGAGCAAATCAAGTATGAGGAAGCACGAAAGGAGGGGGAAACACGGCCAACTGAAATTAATCCAAACGTCATTACGTCGTCACAGGGCCATATCCTCGGAGGTGCTGAAAGAAATGCCGAGTGATTTTGCTGAAGTCATTGAGACCCCTGGTTTTCTCAACTGGAGTCTGACCCATTTTCAGTGAAAGCAGTTAGATCACACTTAACATAAACTGTGTTGCTTCAAATGGGCCTGCCCTCCTCTTCACTCGCTGACCCTGGTTTGCTCCTTGCCATGTCTGCTGGAAGGCCGTGCTCTGTCTGTCCCAGGCATGGCCCTAGTTCAGCTGTGGGTGAAATGATCCTGTTCTGAATGTACTGAATGCTGCTGGCAATGCTGTAAATTGTTTTGAGGCTTAAGGAAAAACCCCATAGATATCAACAAGTCATAAAAACATGCGTATTTTCTTTCTCTTCGTCTGTTTCCCACTCTGTGTTTTATTCTTCGATATTAATAGTTCTGGGAATGTAAATATATTTAACCAAATTTTCCTCTGATGAATTAGATTTTAGTATAATTTGTGGCTTCCTTGCATACTAATTTGTTCAGATTGGTAGCATGCTTCAGAACAAAGCTTCAGAGACTCAGGCTATGCATCCTATAACACTCTTGGAAGACCCAATAATCAGACTGGAATAAGAAATCTTATTGCCATGTTAATATTTCATTTTCCTTCTGGGAAATATTCCAATAATGTAAAGAAAACAAGATTCAAAGTCGCATAGACCCATGTACGCATTCAATCTACACAACATTTGTGGAGCTGTGTGACCTTCAATAAGTCTCTTAACCTCTCTGAGCCATAATTTCCTCAGTCTAAAAAATGGGATGCTAACATAAGGCCAACATTACAGTGAGAACTAAATAAAGCTTTTACATAGTGTCTAGGACAGCTCCTAGCTCATATTTAGTGTTTAAAATAAGCCTCTGACCTTTCTCTTTATTTACAATACCTTTCCTTTGGGAGGTAAGGACAGCATTTAGACACAACTGTACAGGCACGCTAAGTCTCATCCTTCCAAAGACGTCAGTCACATTCAGCTCCTTTAGCAGTTTCATCAACAGCACCTGGAGCACATGGGATACCAAAGAGCAAGTCAGATTCCTTAATAAAGTGGTAAAGAAGGCCAGCCAGGATGCAGGTTCTAAAGCCAAGGCCAGCTCTTCTGGGCTGGACAGTTGTGGCTGATAGATGACAGCCAAATGTAACAGGAGTCCTCATTTGACATATTGAAGGGAACACCTCCAGGATGGGCAGGAAAAAGAACTATCAACACTACTCACCGCCAGCAGTGAGTGCCCAGGTCAAACTGGACAAGGGCTGGCAGACAGGTAGAAATGTGAATATATCGTCAGATTTGAAAAACCCTTCTAAAATGTCCATCCTCCCATATCCCTTTGATGCTTCCCACATCCCCCCAATTCCTCCCAAATGGCATATAAAAAGGGTGATAGCTTTCAGACAAGGTAATCCCCAAACAGTTAAGATCCAGAGCATCATCTTGTATATACCTGTCTTCGAGCTATCACGTTGTGTATTGGGGTTTCCTGATTACTTGACAGACTCTTCTGCTAGACAAGTTCCTGAAGATAAGGAGTGGGTCTTATTCATCCTTTAGCCAAGCCTTACCTGTAGCTCACATGTAGCCCATGGTAGATGCTCAACCAATTTTGTCAACGTGAGAGAAATACAAGAAAGCCAAGTCAGAAATACCACTGTTGCTGTTAGAGAACTTCAAAGATGAATTGCTGGTCTCTGGTGCCAAGGTCCCATAAGAGTGACAGGTGGGTGAACTTCTTGTGAGAAAAGGAGTCAGAAGTCAGAACCCATAGTGTACCAACATGACAGAAAAGAAGATGAAAGCTGTTTTCAAAATGCACCTGTCTAAGGCAATCCGAGCTTGACACATGATTTCTGGAGGTCTGGGCATTGTCTGAGTGCAGTGTTGATTATATGTCTCCTGGAGGCTTCTGTTTAAATAACTGCCAGAGCAGGATGACTCAGCAGCGGGAGGATGAGATGCTCTTGAGCTGCCTCCCTCTTTAAGCAACAAATCACATTGCCCTGAGTGCCTGTGGCAATCTCTGATACGACACACTCCTTCCTGCCAGCCCATCAGCCAGGGTGGCAAGTCACAGTTACTAATCTGGAGACTGACCAAAATTGCTGAGAGGCATAGTCTCATGCTCCAAGTGTGGAGAATGATCTTCAAAATGAACTCATATCAATACCTTTTGTTTCTGTGATGGACTCTTACTCTGTTGCCCAGGCTGGAGTGCAGTGGTGCCATCTCGGCTCACTGCAAACTCCACCTCCTGAGTTCAAGAGATTCTCCTGCTTCTGTTTCTCGAGTAGCTGGGATTACAGACACCCGCCACCACACCCAGCTAATTTTTGTATTTTTAGTAGAGACAGAGTTTCAGCATGTTGGCCAGGCTGGTCTCAAACTGCAGACCTCAGGTGATCTGCTCACCTCAGCCTCCCAAAGTGCTGGGATTCTAGGCATGAGCCATGGCACTCAGCCTTGTTTCTAAAATTTAGAGACTGATTTTAAATTTCTAGTCTGTCTCCATATCCGACACTCCCGACTGTCTTCAGGATAAGGAAATTCAATATCCTGGCCATTAGGGTGCTAGGGGAATTTATCTATACCTACCTTCCCAGCATGATAGAATCTTAATTTGTTTTGCTTTTTTTTTTTTTTTTCCTCCTTGACATTGGCTTACTTGTGTTTGTTTCTTTATTTTGTTCCTGGCAGATAAATGGTGGCAGGACAAAGCTATAAGAATGTGGCCTAGAGGTCAGGTACAGTGGCTCACACCTGTAATCCTAGCATTTTAGGAGGCCGAGTCCTGCAGATTACTTGAGGTCAGGAGTTAGGGACCAGCTTGACCAATATGGTGAAACCCTGTCTCTAAAAAATTCCAAAAAATTCCAGGTGTGTTGGTCCATGCCTGTAATCCCAGCTACTCAGGAGGCTGAGGTAGGAGAATCGTTTGAACCTGGGAGATGGAGGTTGCAGAAAGCCGAGATCACCCCAGTGTACTCCAACCTGGGCAACAGAGCGAGACTCATTCTGGCAAAGCAAAAAAAGAGAGGAAAGGGTAGTGGAAGGGAGAGGAAAGGAGAGAAAAGTGACCTAGGAGGAAATCCTACCTAGCAGCTATTTCCTGAGAATTGCAGAAGTTACCGTTATTAAAATTTAGTAGGCTGGATATGGTGACTCATGCCTATAATCCCAGCACTTTGGGAGGCTGAGGTGGGAGGATCTCTTGAGCTCAGGCGTTCAAGACCAGCCCAGGCAAGAGTGATAACCTGCCCTTACAAAAATATCAAAAAATTAGCGGGACATGGTGGTGTGCATCTTTGGTCCCAGCTACATGAGAGGCTGAGGCTGGATGATGACTTGAGCGTAGGAGATGGAGGCTGTGGTGAGCCATGATCATACCACTGCGCTCCAGCCTGGGTGACAGAAAGAGACCCTGTCTCAATCTAAATAAATAAATAAATAAATAAATAGCACAGCACTTTCATATTTGTTGTCAAAAATCAGTATTCTCTGGATTTTTTTGTTTGACAAATGTCGGTCAATTTTCAAGTAGGAATCCACGAATAGCTTAAATATAATAATCAAAAACTATACCTGTAGGAATAACTGAAATTTGTGATTTGGATTAGTTGCTCTGTGCTATGCCTGAAATGAGCTAAATAGGTTTCTAATTTATTATTATTATTTTTTTTTTGAGATGGAGTCTGGCTCTGTTGCCCAGGCTGGAGTGCAGTGGCGCAATCTCAGCTCACTGCAACCTCCACCTCCCAGGTTCAAGCAATTCTCCTGCCTCCGCCTCCCAAGTAGCTGAGATTACAGGCACACGCCACCACACCCGGCTAATTTTTCATACTCTTTGGTAGAGACGCGTTTTCACCCATGTTGGTCAGGCTGGTCTCCGACTCCTAACCTCAAGTGATCTGTTCACATCGGCCTCCCAAAGTGCTGGGATTACAGGTGTGAGCCACCACAACCAGCTGGTTTCTAACATATTTTTAAGCATTATAAATGCTTTATCTTGTCTGCAGGGCTGATTCGATTTTCAGATTATGTTTTTGCAACCCCTGGTTCAGATCAAAGGAATGACAATCCACACTATCCACAACCCCACTATTCACCTCACACCATCCTTCCTACTCACTGCAAACCGATTTCTAACAGGAATTTCCTCGGCTACAGTAGTACTGTCTCTGTGGAGCAAGGACTTTGGGTCACACATTTTGTGTTTCCTCAGAGCTTAGTTCAGTGGGTCCTGTCCATGTTGTGGTGCTTAACACCACTGATTTGATTTGACTTTGAAAGAGGAGCTCTCCATTTACCTCCAACCTCTGCAGATTCCACTCAAGGATAATTGTGAATTGTGGTTTTTTTATTTACCCCCCAGGGTTTTCATTGTTAACCTAATTATTATTTGCAATATTAATTTCTTTTGGCAGGCAGTAGCAATTTTACAAATCTTTTCTGGAGCCCAGAGAAAAATGTTTCCACTTGAGATAAATGTTTGGGTAACAGTAATGAAGAGAGAAAATATTCAGACTTTTTATGATTCTAATTCACTTGCAAATTTCAGTTTTTCTGCTTTGAGATACTCTGTAGCTACAAGTCCTTAGGAAATCCACTTTGGTTTACTTATAATAATTTTAAACAGTGTTTTAAAATGAAACAAGTTAAACAACATGTTGTTTTATTAGTTTATTGTAAACATTTAAAAATACACAGATAAGGCTGGGTGCAGTGACTCATGCCATTGAACTCCAGCCTGGGCAATAGAGTGAGACTTTATCTCAAAAACAAAACAAAAAAACCTAGATAAGCACACAGAAGAAACTCTGAAACATCCATAATCTCACAACCAAGAAGTAACAATGATAGACATTCTGGAGTACACACTTTACAAAGTTGTTTGTTTTGGAGCTGGAGATGGGAAGGGGAGGGTGGGAAGGTGACGTGGTAGGCCAGGTCTTTTGTTTGTTTGTTTTTGTTGCTGCTGTTGTTTGAAGCAGGGCCTCACTCTGTCACCCAGGCTGGAGTGCAGGCTGCGATCTGGGCTCACTGCAGCCTCGACCTCCCTGGGTTCAAGTGATCCTTCCATTTCAGCCTCCTGAGTAGCTGGGACTATAGGCGCATGCAACCATGCCCAATTAAATTTTCTTTTCTTTCTTTCTTTCTTTTTTTTTTTTTTTTCTGTATTTTGTAGAGATGGGTTTTCACCATGTGGCCTAGGCTGGTCTCAAATTCCTGAGCTCAAGTCATCTGCCTGCCTCAGCCTCCCAAATTGCTGGCATTACAGGAGTGAGCCACTGAGCCCAGTCAGGAAAGTTTTACCTTGTATAAGGAAAACTGATCATGCTAGTTTGTTACCTACTTTTCAAATTTAGTAACAGATGACACACCCTTTTCTATAGCCATTTAATTGCTGTAACAATTTTTTTTTTTTTTTTTTGAGATGAAGTTTCCCTCTTGTTGCCCAGGCCGGAGTGCAATGGTGTGATCTTGGCTCACCACAACCTCCATCTCCCGGTTCAAGCGATTCTCCTACCTCAGCCTCCAGAGTAGCTAGGATTACATGCATGTGCCACCACACCCAGCTAATTTTGTATTTTTAGTAGAGGCAGGGTTTCTCCATGTTGGTCATGCTGCTCTTGAACTCCCGACCTCAGGTGATCTGTCCTCCTCAGCCTCCTAAGGTGCTGGGATTACAGGCGTGAGCCACTGCCCCCAGCCTAACAATTTTTTTGCTATAACAATTTATTATTTTATGGCTTCATAATATATTTAACCAAACCTTATATTTCCCATTACTATATAATGCTACAAGGGCACTTTTATAGATAAATATTTGTCTGAATCTCTATTCCGCCCTACAAGTAGACTTCCTGAATTGAATGTCATGATCTTTCTGAAGCTCTTTTTTTTTTAAATAAATGATAGCCAAATGCCGTGGCTCCCACCTGTAATCTCAGCACTTCAGGTGGCCCATGGGGCAGATCGTTTGAGGTCAGCAGCTTGAGACCAGCCTGGCCTACATGGCAAAACCCCATCTCTACTAACAGTACAAAAAAAAAAGATGGTAACATTTCTCTTTAGAAAATTTGTATCGGCTGGGTGCACTCACACCTGTAATCCCAGCACTTTGGGAGATCCAGGTGGGCGGATCACGAGGTCAGCTTTTCAAGACCACCCTGACCAACATGGTGAAACTCTGTCTCTACTAAAAATACAAAAATTAGCCGGGTGTGGTGGTGGGCGCCTGTAATCCCAGCTTCTCAGGAGGCTAAGGCAGGAGAATCGCTTGAACCCGGGAGTCAGAGGTTGCAGTGAGCCTACGTCACAATATTGCACTCCAGCCTGGGTGACAGAGAGAGACTCTGTCTCAAAAGGAAAAAAAAAAAAGAAAAATCGTATCAACTTAAACTCTTATGAGTGCTACATATTTTTAGAATTATCATGATAATCTCTCTCTGCTGCCAAATACCTTAGTGTGTGTGTGTGTGTGTGTGTGTGTCTAAATTAGCAAACATTTATTGTGCACCTCCTAAGTTCTAGGCACAGGAAGAGTGGTAGAGAATGTATTTTTAATTTTTACTTACTTAATTAATTAATTCCTTATTTTTCAGACACGGTCTGGCTCTGTCACCCAGGCTGGAGTGCAACCTCTGCCTTCCAGTTCAATCGATTCTTGGGTTTTGGTCTCCCAAGTAGCTGGGATTACAGGTACCTGCCACCATGCCCAGCTAATTTTTGTATTTTTAGTAGAAATGGAGTTTCACCATGTTGTCTAGGCTTGTCTTGAACTCCTGATCTCAAGTAATCATTGTGCCTTGGCCTCCCAAAGTGCTAGGATTACAGGCATGAGCCACCATGCCCAGCCTATTTTAATTTTTTTTATTTTAAGACTAGTCAAGTGCACTAGTGAGAAGTGGAGAAGAGCAGAACAGAGAACTTAAATCTTATTGATGGAATT